GATATAAAGTTATTACTTTAAACAAAATGCAAGCTGGGGGGATTTGTTTATAAAGTTATTTGTGTAATTTATAACAAGAGACTTTAGTAAAGAAAAAGTTTGCTAAAATTCACTTTGTTCTCAGTGTATATTATGGTCATGCTCTTAGAAATGTGCTTTACAAACTGCACTATGCACTACTGTTGGCAGTTGAGCAACAGCAGTGGTCTCCTTGGTATTAACTCTTTACCATGTCAGAAAACCGCATTATATACTAAATCATTTTGAGACTGATGTTCTGAGACCAATTTAAGAGAAAATACTGCTCTAAAAAGCCTCTGTTTTATGCATATTAATTTACTTTACCAGAGTACTGATGAATTAATAGAGCTAAATTAATACAGACAGCAGCTACCAATTTTATACATATTCAGACTGAAACCTTTTAGCTAGCATTAAAAAGCTGTTTGTTAAATTAACTTTTTAAATCATCTGATACTTAAACAAGCCAGTATGTTCCAGCTGTCTACTGGAATACTGTATCTTCAAACTGGTATCGAAAGAGTAGTTCCTAATGTAAGACAACATTTGCATAATTTGCAGTAAAAACTGGGTTAGTATTTGAAAACTGAGGCCCAAAGCACCAGCCATAATAGTATCAAGAACAAAAGGATTCACCTCAGCTTCTCTAAAGCATTAGAGTTAATTAAGGCCACACATTTACCAGTGCTCCGAAGTTCTCCATTTGGGAATTGCCAAGGCAGTTCATGCAGCTGTAACTCTTCCGCCTTCTGAGAAGCACAGTGATAGCTGCCGGTTGTGCAAGCACAGTCTCAACTCTGCATCTCTCTGCTTTATTTGCCAGTCAGCCTGTCAGATAAAAGGTATGAATGAAATTCAGGCTCCTTTAGAGCCTTGTGTTGACTGAGCAAACTGCAAAGCTGTTACAATAACCGGTGTATTTGGGAAATATGATCTTGTAATTAGACTATGTTAGTGAACAGGTGGGCTCAAGACTCTGAATTAATATTAGGGAGGCCTTTGGGGATCTAAACATCCCGCCTCCTTCCCTGTACTCTGGCTGTCCAGCCACATCCATACCAGTGTCCTCTGTGAGCCTGAGACTGAACAGCTTGCCCTCTGGAGACATAAGTAGCAGCCTAGTCTGACCTGATGGACTGTGTGGAAAAACAAGGAGCCAGAAGGCTGAGGGGATCTTTGAAGGGAGAGATGTTTGAGTTTGAAGGCACGAATCTGAACTGTGAAGCCATTTTGCTCTGTGAGGATCTCTTCAGAGGCTGCCTTGTGCTGTGGGATTGATGAGGAGCTTGTTTACTTTGTAGGAGCTCTGCCTCACTCTGTGTGTTCAAGCCAAATTGACCACGCCTGTGACTTACTGATCTTTGCTTAGTCACTGCTCCTCTGCCTTCTCCTGTGACTCCCCAGAAGCTTGCTGAGCAGCAGCCCCTCTAGAGCAGCTCTGAGCCCTTAGCATGTGTCAAGGTTAGTGAGCTCTTAGAAGTAGCTGGCAGATTCTGGGTTGAAAACTACTGACTGGATTAAAACAGTCTGCTAGAACAGACATTGGTGACGCCTGAGGAGGAAATTCTCTTACAGTAAGTCAAGCTGAGCAAAAGCAGCTGGGTGAGGCTTTATGGCCTAATAATCCCTTCTCATACAGAACATGAAGGCCTTGGAGTGCATGCAGGGAGAGCTCACACCTTCGGAGGAGCTGAACCAGCAGTCAGGAGCACTTTTGCTTTTCTGCTGTCTGTCCCTTGCCACCTGGTTTGGTGATGGAGCAGCATGGAGCAAATTAGTCAAACTTTTTTTTTTTTGACGCTTCATTCAACTTTTAGCTTGAAAAGAAAGTTTTATCTCTTAAGAACTATAACTTGTCAGTCTTACAGACCAGCTCAGCATGTAGTGCTGGTTTTGCAGTTGTGGGGTTTATTATGTGCTCTTAAATTGACTCTCTTTAAAATAATCCTTCTGGGGCTGTTGGGAAATAAATTCCCAGCTGCTTCACCACTTACCCCACAGTGTTACCATAAGACTGTAATGGCTACTTACTCATGTGATGTGGGGTTGTCCATGTCTGTTGTGTGGCTAACCAAATCCTGCCAGCTACAAGCTTCTGATGAAACAAGGATGGGAACCAGAACTTCAGTGTAAAATTGCTTCCAATTTCAGCCCCTCCTGTGGTCCCTTGAGAAATGGTAGAGATGAAACACAGATGGACCAACCCTATTGATTCATCTAACTATCCCCTGCTAAAGAGGCTTGTTCACGCATAGTCTGGTTCTGTTAACTCGCTAGGGTTCTGGTGCTTCCCTGGGGAGACTGTTTCACAAACTGGCAAGCTTCATGACTAAGGCTTTCCCACCAATCTATTTTTTTTTTTTTTCATTCCATGACCCCCTACTAATGCTGCCTTGAGTCATTCTAGCCTGCCTGCCTGCCTTGCAGATCACAGCCTCTCTGATCCTGAGGGATTCTGAGATTAGGTTTCGTCATGCATGCTACTATTAAGCCTTTTATTTAAAAGTTTTTTGAGCTCTTCTGTCTTCGCGTGTTTCTAGTAGGTATTTCAATTACGATGTGCTTTCTGAAGCTCCTGAGGAAAAACCAGAGGTGAAAATTGGTAGCAACTATCCCTCTCTGCGGGATAAGGATATTGCTAATCCTGCCTCAGATTCAGGCACAAAGCTGCAGTACCCAAATCTTTGGGGCTCCACAGCTCTGTTAAGTGCAAAAGTTTCTTTTCCTACTTGAGAGAGACAGAGTAAGGGAGCTGGGGATAACATCTCCTTATGTGGTGTGGGGAGCTGTTAGCCAAGAACTGACCTCCTGAGGAGGAGGTAAGGTTAAACCTCTGGAGAAGCTCAAAGGCATCTCGCTGATAGATTTCTGACATGCTCCCCTGGTGTGGTGTTCTCTGGGTGGGCCTTGTTCTTTCCTGTTGAGCCAAGTCTACTGTGGATAACTAACAGGGCTTCTTCAGCCCTCACCTGGGAAGTGAGACAGAACCAAGGAGCTGAAAGGGCTGGGTTTGGGCCCCCCCCCCCCAAATGCAAATTCTGGAGCATGTTAACCTTGTGATTTGGGAGAGCACCCAATCCTGATGTGCCCTGCCCTCCCCCCCCAGCACACAGGCAGAGGGTTAGCATGAGGCTGTTCACCTTGTAAGATTTTTTTACCTAAGTAAGTGAGGTGTATATGACTAGCCATTAAGGAGTAAGGGTTTTAACTGACATGCTACATAAGGGGATTAAAGACTACAGTTTCTGACCCAGGTATTTTTTTTACAGGGCTGCTCAGTGCTTTTATCTTTTGAGGAAACAGCCCCATGCACTCAGGAGCCCTGCTTATTTCATTCCCCTCTGCTGCCCCCAAGTTTAGGAGATGCCTGATGTATTTTACTACCACCTGTTAATGTTTCCTTTTTGTGGCGTTCTTCTAGTTCCTGTGAACTGAGAGTTTAAAATACAGGTACTTGAGTACTAGGTGTTCTCTCAGCTGGCTGTGGCATGCCTAAAACCACTGTGGCATGCGTATGTTACCAGTTTGGGTAGTATCAGCTCTACTGCATTTGACTGCACTTTGCAGAGACCTTCCCATGCCTCCAAAGGTGGCAGTGTTTAGGCCTTTGGCTGGCTAACACTCTTCCAAGGCCTTTGGGCACAACAGGCCAATTTCTACCCTACAGCTCACAGTCACAAACATCTCAAACTTTCCTCATGTGGAAGATTGTATGCTTAATCCAACTTTTCTCTCTCTAGAAGAGGACGTTGTGACAGTCTAACAGTGAACCAGGTATGACAGCACCTTTTCCGGCTAAGCATAAGCTTCTGTAACTGCAGCTGTTTTGGTAGTGGTAGTTTACCAAGGTTGAGCATGTCACCTCTGTCACAAAGAGCTTTTCAAAGCTAAAGGGATGGTGATGAGTTGGAGTCCTCCCAGCAAAGGCATTGTCATGCAGCCACAAACTGAAGCTTTCAAGCTAATTCATTTGTTTTACAGTGATCTCAACTGGGTATACAATCACCTACCTGCTCATCACATATACTGATCTTGTCATTAACTCATAATGAGGGACCTGGAGCTGCTTAGATGGTGTAGGTATCGTGGAATTCAGATAATCCATTTAAAATTAGTGGAAATTCAACTTTGATTAAAACTGAGAGGCAAGAAAATCCACCTCAGTCAATCTGGGCCTGCATAAATTAGTAGCTGATTTATATAATAAATAGTTCAAGTCTGGGGGCTTGAGAGACTCGGCTCTTCTATCAGCAGAGCACGCATGGGAGAGACCGAGCATCTCCCCAGGTGAGAACACCCTCCTGGCACCATGGGGTGCCTGGGCTTAACCACAGCTCTGCTGTGGAGAGCAGAGGGGCCCTTGCCATCCTGTGGCACTTGTGTCACCACCTGTAAGCTCTCTTAAGCCTCCCCAGTTGAATGCAAAGTTGGATGGCCTGAATACAGGGACAACTGAAAAAAGAAGAGCAGGCCCATATTGAGTTCCTTACAAAGAGGAGGAAAAAATCCATCTTTTTTCTGGCCCTCCTCACCCTAAGTAAGAAAAGTTTAACCAAGGTTGCCATCAGGGTCGCTCATACCAGGCTTTGCCCAACGTGCCCACAGGGAAGAAGGAGGCTCCCCAGGCATTTCTGGCACAGCTATCTGGCTGGCTGGCTGGCTGCAGGCCAGGTATTCCAGCTCAGTTTTGTGTCTGCAACCACACATAGGCTCTAACACCCAAGTGTGGGAACTGGAGAGAGCAGAGGCCATCCTTTGAAGACTTGCCTCCCAGAAGTCATACCTGTGAGGATGCAAATGAGCATCTGACACATGCTTAAAATCAATATGGAGTCTCAGAAAGAATGTTATTGTCAAGCTAGGGAAAGCCAAACAAAGGTATTTGCAGCTGCCAGTACAGTTCTGGAAAGGTACAGGCTCACACCTCTAGGCAAAACACAGTAATACAAAAACTAGACTAGATAGATTTGGCAGTCTTCATTTATTCAGTTTAAACAAAGGGTTTTTTTTTTTTTTAAAAATAATCAATAAATAAAACATAGACATCACCAAGGAAACACTATATTGAGTGGAGTACCATCAGGAACATTAAATAGAACCCCCCCCCCACCACAGCTTAAAGTAGCTCTCCACACCACAATGGAAAGAACATTTTGTAAGGCCTAACTGTTCACAGACAAGACTGGCTGTTCTGTACGAACCTTCATGTATTTATAATGCCCTATTCATAGATGCAGGATTTGTCACTCTCTTCACACAAAACACTACTGTTGAAACAAGGGCTTTGTACATTATTTGCTTGCCATCAGTGGCAAAAGTGCTAAAAATCATTTATCCAACATTATAGCAAGAGGGATGCTCCAAAGCAGCAACAATTTCTTGGGACCAGGATCTGGGATTTCTCTGCCAGTTAGCAATGCAATATGCATAAGTGGTTACCAGCAAAACCACCACGCGCCTGGCCCTAAGGAGTTCAAGTACAGCAAGTTGGTCAGAGGTGTTCAGTGAAGCCGAATGCATTACTGCCTTTTCACAGACGTAGGCATTAACTGCCAATCCCAAATCACACTCCTGTTGAATATTAGCGAGCGCCCCACTAAAGAGGGGATATATTCGGTCTGTCAGACATTCCAGTTTCCCAGTTACCTTCGCCCTGTCAGAAACCATGGGTTTGTTCTGTCAGAAAACAAGTAACTACCCTGAAAAACCTCATAGTAGAATTATCAGCTAAAGTGCAGGGCCCCAGCAGTACTAAGTATGCATCCTTTTACACTCCAAAGCGTCAGCTTTAGCACAGCCCGTAAGGGTCTCCCCTGCCGGCGCTAACCAAAGTTCAGTTTTGGAAGATAGTGCCTATAAAACTTCAGGTACATTAACATCATTAACATCAACAGCACTTAAGTGAGGTTTCATGGAAAGAACAGAACAAATTCCCATTCTGTATCGCTGATTCTGTGCAAGAGAAGCGTTCCCTACGCAAGTTACATCTGCCTTCAGTGAAGTACAGACAGGAGCACAATTCCATGATCTGTACTTTGGCTACCAAGAAAAGAAGCACGAAACTTTAGAAAAATACAATGCAAGAAAAAATTTTGAGATAAAAATATATACCTTTGGTTAAAAACCATCCCCTTAGCAAGATCTTTTGTAATCCAGCTAGAACAAAAAAGCTTCACTTTGACGGAACAGTAGTAAAAATTAGTTCTAAGAGCTCATTTCCTACCCCAGAGAACCCTTCTAAAATGTCAGTAAGGTTTTTTTTGCAGGTTTTACACATTTGATGTTGAGTATTTATAGGGATTGTTATATTTGTAGTAATGAACTATACAGATTTTCCACGAAGAGAATGTTTGTTGCACAAGCTCCTCCACCAACAGTCCTTACCAAAAAAAAAAAAAAAAAAAAAAGACTCTAAGTTTTTAATTAAAGAACCGTTGAAACATGTAGTTTTCTTCAGACACAGAATAGCCAAACTTCTTATAGAAAGCTACATTTTTTGGCAGACACTCAAGAGTAATTTTGTAACAGTTCAGTCTCTTACTGAGCAATGTAAGGGTGGATGTCAATCTGGAAAAGACAGAAAACCTGTGGTTAAAGGAAACAGATCTGAACACTGAATCAGTTAAGGTTTAATTAGCTAAAGTTATCAGTGGAAGCCACTTTTGAAAATAAACTTAAGGACGTTTAGATTCCTATGAGAAACAGAATTCAAATTTTCCACGGGAAAGACCACTTGACATGCTTTTAGTGATCCTGCTTTTCTCCTAAATCTCACTCTGCAGAGAATGACGTTTCACTTCAGGTATCAGCTAATTTTCCCATCACAAACACATTTGGTAGATCCACCTATTTCATAGCATGTTATGAGGCCATTGCAAATGCCTGCTCACCACAGAGCAGCTCATCCCCAGCCTTAGTCCTGTAATACTGAAGTTTTACAGCGCGCTACAATTTCCCTCGGTACGCAGGGTAGCTTCCCATCCCAAGGAACAAGGATGGACCAGTGCCCTGGAGGCGATTTTTGCTACTGCTGATCAGGACCTCAGCTTGCGCTCTGCCAACTAGTGACACCTTTTGGCTAAAAGCTTTAAGGTATCTCGGCAGGGGATGATCTGCCAGGCTAACCTTGAGAAATCCTAAAATCCTGCTGTCAGAGTTCTGGCGAGCCATCCCGTGGCGACAGCTGCCTTTAACTGAGCACTACATCTTCCACAGAGCACAGAGGACAGGCAGGTGGCAGGCTGAGGGCAGTAACTACACATTACCCCCAGCACCCAAAAAGGGACGGGCTCGTTCGGAACAACAGCCACTAACAGCCACTAATCATCTTCCCCTGCCTCAATGGACTGCAGCTTCAAACTTTCTTCCTACTGCAGAGGGTCAGTGCACAGACATGACCCACGGTCATGCCGGCACTGATCAGCTGCTATGTTCACAGGGTGGATAAGGGGCTCCCGGCCTGTCTGGTGTTAACTGGCAAAGATGGTGAAATACTCACAGTTTACCAAGCTGCTTTCCTCTGCATTCCCCGCTTACTACTACATCTTCTATCCTTCCTCTCTGTGAAAATACAGGCAAGTGTTAGTTTAGCAGCACACTGTTGTGTTAATTTTCCTATTTCTCTATGAAGTGTTTCATGCTTGAATTTTCTGCTAACCGGATGTAAACTTCAGTAACGCGTCCTGTGATCGCCACATTCGTCACGTCCCTTCCAGCACCCAGAGCAGCAGGTGCAGTCACGCCACAACCGTTCTCTGGCTCCATTTCACACATCTGACTGGGACTCTACAGTAGCGAGATCCGCAGCCATCTACTCCATGAGAACCAAGTCTGACTAGTTCAAAAGTTACTGGGAGGGAGGAGACCGGGACAGGCATCAAATTGCTCTTTTTCTTAGGAAAAGCCAGAGCTTCCTTTTACTATTTAGCTGAGCACTCAAAGGAGAGAGATGTTTCCAAAATGCCTTCGCCACTGACTCAGTAGAACATGCTTTGTCACAGAGTAGCGCCATAAAAATAACAAATGGATGTAGTTTGGGCACAGGATCTTTTTCTTCACGTTACAGCTGCAGTGAGAGAACGTACCTTTGCACAGGAGTGAGTGAACTTGTGTTCTATAACCAGCGTTGCTGTAGCAACAATCTGTCCAAGATTTGTATCTTCTATAACAGTAACATAGTAATCTCCAGATCTCTTCATGTGTTCAAATGTTTCTGTGGGAGCAGACAGACATTAAAACAGTCACTTCTAACACTTGCAACAGATGCTGAATGCAGATCACTGAAGAATTCAGCATCACAAGCCAAGATGCAGCCAAGACACCAGAACCTGAAAGCCCCAGAGTCAGACTAACCCAAACAGAGACAAAACTCAGAAAAAGGAGAAATGAAACGAATGCCTTTTCCTTAGCTGCCGGGAGAACCTTCCTTCCCCAGCATCTCTACAGAGGTACTAGAACCAAGGTGGCAGTACCTACACTAGGTCTTCTTGCATCACAAGCAGACCAGTGAAACGAGTTCATAATGCTAACAATCTACAATCAACCATCACTGACTAACCTGTTATGCCCTGCTCAAAAGCAGGTATACGATTTAGGCATGCCCCAGCTAAGATGCCCCTTGGGATAGCAGGAGCTGAATCCAAAAGTGAGTGCCAAAATCTGCCCTAAAAGTCTAATAAATCCCTCAGGAATCAGGCAGTCAAGAGTCACACACCCAAGTAGATTTGCTGTCAGCATCAGTATCTTTTGGTCCCAGCAATCTCTCTGGAAATGGCAGATGAAATAATGATATACTCACTGATAAACTGCTCTGGGCTTACAACTCCGGTTTCAGTCAGCTGACCCAGAACCTTAAAAAAGCCTGTTATAAAAGAGGAGGAAAAAAAAAAATCAGTGAGGTATAAAGACACACAATTAGCTCCAAGAGTACTGAACAACCTGAGATGGCTGTCTGAAGAGTTAACAGCCCCACAGCACCATCTAATTCGCTTGCATGTAAAATGCTGCATTCTGCATATTATAGAACTAGACTGTAATCTTAAAATCAAACTCATGCCTTGAGCTATGCTGAAGGACCAGCAAACGCATCAGTAGCAAACTGCAACTTGAGTGCAGAAAAAAAAATCATGCATTTAGGCAAGAAAAGTATAAGCCTGAAATTATCCAAATATTAAGCTATACACTCAGAACAACCTTTTAAGTACCAAATCTGAAGAAATCTTCATAAACTAAAATTAATACGCTGGCTTACATTATTAAAGGGAACAGTAAGAATGGCTATACTCCCTGTCTCAAAGGGTGGCGAACAGGAAGCCATGGATTACCTCTAAGATCTGAGTTTTAAGACTGGTTTCAAGTTTATTAACATGGTAGACGCAAATCTGAATGTCACCTAGCATACCAGCAATCATTCTAATGCCAAGGGCTCAGATTCCTTACTGATAAAAATAAATAACCCAAATCAGATAAAACAAGCAATTCTGAACTACTTGGAGATAACTCAGGAATATATATTATCTAGTCCAGCACCCAGCTTTAGTCCGTAATGATCATTAAACAGGATTCTACCTCGGTTTAAATCAGCTGTGCAAAGTGGTCTCATAACCAGGCCATCTCCTGGATCTAAAGGAGAAATAGCAGGAGAAAACGGTGCCATGTTCTCACTCCAGTCAAGTTCGTGGAGGATATTTGGGTCAAACATTGGTGTGTCGTCAGGCATCACAGTTGCAACAGGCATCATGGCTGCAACAGGTGTTCTGAAAGAGAACGCATACTGATAAGGGACGTTGTTTTGCTATCATTTTAATATCTAAATATGCTATTTTCCCTGGTGGTTATGTTGTGCCATATGATGCTCCCAGGGATGTAAAAGTAAGGTGGATGAAACCAGGACTTACTCACTTTTTCTTTCTAGTGAAACTATTTAAACTTCGCCAGACTAGGACACAGGGTTAAACAAAGAGCACACACACTGACGCAGCGCACTTTATCTAAAGCCAATACAAACAGAACTTTTGTGTTTGTGCTAGTGTGCTAGAACCAGTGTTCTTTTGGAAAAAAAGACAGCTAAGGCATCGACTAGGATACTTAGCCTCTATATCCCTTTAAAAAGGAAAACATCCAGCACTCTCAAGAAACGTTGCTAACATACTGTTTACAGAGTTTAGAGGTAATTGGCATAAATATTCCTCAGATTTTAAACTGGTGGTAGGAATAGTACAACTTTTAAAACTAGTTCCATTACATATAAATATTTAGTTTCTCAGCCAAGAGCCACCACACAGATGAAAACACAGATGATACAACAGCCTGCACGCACTCTTATAGTCCATGAAATGTTTTTCATGCAGTCACGTTTGCTTTGTCTGTTCACAAAATCAAATGCCATTTCAGCTATAAAGTGTAGTGCCTTATTGTCCATTAACAGATAAAATGTAAAGCTGCCAAGATGATAGTGAGCCACCTGTTAATGATTAAAAAGAGAGCTGGGAATTGTGTATTATTTGGGGTTAGGGAGACAAGGAAGCAAAGGGATGTACCGTACCGATTGCTAGATACAGTAAAATTACTCCTACTTTGTCCTCTGTGGAGTATCTGGTGATGTTTCTAGAATGAACAGAGCTTATCACAGGAACTTCTGAGACTAGACTCTTTACGCATCTTCAAATTAACTTGGCTGAACCACAGAAGATGTGCTATTCACACACACAGTTGGACAGGTGAAAATAAACACCACCAAAAAAAAAATCTGACCAGGAGGAAGACTTTTCAAAATAAGATATCTTATAATCCTGTTAAGCTGCCTAGAGAAAGTGCAGAGGATGTTATCTAGGAAGCATTTCAGTGTGACTGCAGCATGCACACTTCAAAACAGAAGGCAGCTCTGGAAATCCAGCTGAAAAAAGCTTCTTAAAAAAGAAGTCTATCTTTTTTATGCCACCTGCTGGTATACACTGGCCTTTAAATCCATATTCCCTTAAACAATCTTACATGTAAGTGTAAAAAAAGTAACTAAATAGTAACAGAAATTCTCATCCCACTTGAATTTGGAAAAGGAAACAGCAGGAAAAATGAAGCGTAAAAGAAAAACCTTCATATAGATGGAGAGTAAGAAGCGAGAATCTGAATTTTCTGAGTCCCACTTTTAAGCTTCAGTGATCGGATCATGCTGATACTCGCAGGAGAGCGCAAACCCATAACTAGTGTTTCAGTTATGTCAGAGCTAGGCAAAACTAAAATCTCCCTAGTTAAAGCAACTTACCTGACATCTCTATTGCTAGACTTCAGTTATTCTAACATTGCTATTTACCTGCCCATTAAAAAGCCTTCCTAGAATTCATGACTATTCATACGAATGTTCAAATAACGTTCTATGCAGAATAAAATAAAAATAAACAAAAATCAATTTTATCTCAGTTCTGGATTACAGAATACTAAGTACACACATCAGTAGAACAGCACATGAAGCAAATAAAAAATGTCATACTTTCAAAGCAGCCAGTATATTTTTAACTAAAACAAAAAATGAATATTTATTTTCCAAGCTACCACAGGCACAGCCAGAGCAGTATCAGGTTTGAACCAGAAGCTTCACACATTTTCTGGAGTTAGGAATATCATTGACTCAATAGAAATGCATTGGCCAATTAAAAAACTTTATCAATACACAGTGAGGAAGAGCTCCAGCCCGTTTCAATGAATCGCCAACTTCCCCCGCAGGCCTACGGGGCTTTCAGGACGGAGGTTTGGCGTTGGCACACACCAGCAGGCCCCAGGGGAGCTGGCGCAGGAGGCACCTGTGTACCCCGGAGCATCCTGGGCTGTACCGGTATCTGTCTGAGCGTCAACGTGACGCTCTGCCTCCCGCTCCCACCCCACATCCCTCCGCTGTGCTCTTTTCCGGGAAGCGGTAGAGTGGACGGGAATGGACTAAGTCACATCTCGGATCCTCCCGAGCCCCCGCTGCTTGTCAGAGGGACCCTCAAGGGCAGCGAGCGCCTGTTGGGCCGGAGCTCGGCTCCAAGGGGAGGCCGGGACAGACCCCAGCCCAGCTATGGGTGGCCGTGAAGAGTCCCGCAGACCCACACGCGCCCCGGGGTGGGGGTGGAAGGGACTCAC